GTCTTACATAAGAACAGGTCTTTTAGCTGTTCTTATTTAAGTCGCGTCTTAAATAAGAAATTTTGGACAAAAAGTCTAACTACACATGCCAGAAACTTAAAACAACGTAAAATTTAATGCCTTGCATATTAAAACAAAAACAACCAAAACAACATTATAGCTATAGCAAATAAATAAGACCAAAGCCGTAGAGAACCATTTATGCCATAACTCCACTTATTTAAGTCGCGTCTTATGTAAGTCGCGACTTATTTTGTCACGTATAAATGGCCCTATTGATCGTAAACATCGGCGATGCCCATTGTCGGTGGTCATTGATGCATAAAAAGTTTTGTGCATTTTCTTTTTCGTTGCTCACAGACAATGGATCGTAGAACATCGCCGATCAATGTGAACCAAGCTTAATACAAGCATATACGAGGCGGCATTTCTCATTTGCATGGGGCTTGTACTCAGAAAATCATCTCAAAATACGCTTTAAAATTCTCCTGTGGCTGTGCCAAAACGTTCTGCATCAATATGCGTTTTGAATCTTTGTCAGTCGATCTATAACAAATTTTTTTTTCGATTTGCCCGAAATTTGCTAAGTCAAACTTTGGTCGAAATTTTCCAAAACAAGCTCAACTTTGTTGACTCGAGAATCCGGCTAGCGGGGTAGCGTAGCACAAAGTATAATAAACGACGGCTAAGCAATTCTTATTTGGATATGGCTTCTACTCAGAAAATCATCTCAAAATGCGCTTTAAAATTATGTGCTGAGTATAATTATTACTATCTTATAAAAAATAAGCAGAAACTCGACGTTTCGGCAAGAAGATTTTTGTTTGTCTTGTGTCGTGAACTCTGTTTTTGAACTAATGACTTTAACACAAAGAAAAATTTTCTTGTTCGTTCTTGTTCGTTTTAATCGTATCCACAGATAATTTTCCTTAGTGGAAACTGGCGTTTATAATTAGTTGAATCAAGAATCCAGGTTTTAAACGGCTAAGCCGGTATTATTACAATGTAAATGCCGAATGACTACCGTATAAAATACTGAATCACAGTTAATAGAATGAGACTAAACCCAGGGGTGGGGAAAGACAAGTGAATCGACTTTTATGGCTGGAAAGTTTTTAAATGTTTTTGGTTCCGCAGCAGCGCGTAAAGCAGTAAAAATTGTTGTCGGTGCATTTTGTCATTTCAATGAAACAATTTTACTCGAAATGCATGACTTATTCAGTTCTCATGAGACATGGAGCTATTTTGAATTCCCAAGAACAGAAATAAGGATGTGTTAATCTCTAAAAGTTTTTATGTCGTAGTGCTGATGAGGTATTCTAATAATAACAATAGTAAAATTTCTAAAGGTCTCCTTGGAATACGGAGACTGCAATTGCGGTGAATTTCATTTTCCAGCACAACGTAAACAACCTCGAATTGTGATTGGCAGAGGAAGGAGTTTACGTAGAAACTATGAACTACACTCACAATAGCGTCAACTTTCATCCAATAAACATCAAGTTCGAGAGGAACAGTGCAACTTGGGTGCAATTAAAATGATTTCTACTTGCAGGATTTTGCATGTTTAATTAATTACCTATAAAAACGCGAAACGAGAACAGGTGCGGTCTTCTTTGCCTGTCCTGTCTGTGACCTATACTAAGTATATCATACAAGAAGAAACGATGTCCGGACAGTTACCGGCTAAACAACTCAATTCAAGTAGAATTAAGACATCGCTGCGAAGGCATGTTCTTAGTTTGGTGAGTGAACATTTTTTTTGAAAGAAATTATCAATGTTTTAATTACTGACAGGGTGGTACTGCGACTTGAAAGAAATACAACTACCAGCTCGAGATTTTGAGGCATTTTATTGAGAAGTTGGGCTACGTTTTACGATTAGCTTTCCGTAGCGACGTGAATGAACATCTATCCGTACCTTTTACGATTTAATGCCGCTATTTTCATAGGAATTATTGCAACGGAACTCGCTCAGCTTCTGAAAGTTGTACATTCAAGACTTATGTCTATGACTTTGACTAACTTTACGAATGGCTTCGTTCGAAACGTCGAAGGTCTATATATCTATATTATTCTGTTAACAACTTTGTTTTAATTCTGTTTTAGATTGACAATAACTGCAGTTCCGTATGCTACCGAGCGGCTTGGCGCGTGCGAGATCGAGCACTTGATCTCGCACGTAATTCGATCTCTGGAAAGAGAATAACGTTAGACGAATTGTTGCACAACATACCAGGCGTGCGGTTTTTTGTTTCGGCTATCACTGCGGTTCAAGCGACTTCTGAACGAGACAGAGGGCTAATTTTTCCTGCAGTTTCGTTTTTTATTGTTTATTCTCCAAGCGATGACTGCAGCGAGGAAATAATTTTCGACGTCCTAAACAACGAAGACCCCGAAGCGGACGTCGTGCGAATTAGACCAAGACAACCCGGGGACGGCGACAGTTTGGCCCACGTTCTTTTTAATGTGGTGAAAAACCACAATAACGAGTTCGTGAATGAAATGGTCAGACTCAGTAACGACTACGGTATTCAACGTCAACTGAACGATCCTGACAGACCACCAATCCCGCCACCACACTTTCCGCGAACTTCGACGAGAATTGTTGTTGTCGACGCCGAATTTGGCCCGGCAATTCACGCCGCGAGGCAAAATCTCGAAGCAGACGGCTTCCAATGCGAAGTGCATGGCATTGTCGAAATTCCACCAGCAGAACCACAGCTCGATAATGCCACCAGCGATTTAACGGAAACTATCAGAACATTCGAGCGGTTCATAAAGCAGATGGGTTATGCTCTATACAAGGTAAAACATTATTAATATACTTTCTAGTGTAGGTGCTTTTACTATACTGTTTTATAAGTAGATATAATTAACCCTAGATGAAATGGGAATGATAGTGCACCGTGCACGTGGGTCACGCGGTCTTGGTTAGCTGTTCGTAATGCTTTTCGACCATTATCATTATATTCATAGTTAGAAGATCCAGCAAACCATTATTTTGTTAATCTAGTTCTAGAGCTTGAAATGTTTCCAAGTAATGGTTATAAAAATGGGGTGACCTTTATGACCTTTTATCGCCAAGTCTCGCAAATATTATCCAGTTGTTGTACTTTTACATATTTATAAATGGTTAAAGAATATTTCAAACAAGTTTTGTCCAGTTTTGAAGCTGTGCAGCGTTTTTATATTGACCATTGTGTCCTTCGATATATTTTCTTCAAACTTCAGTTTAGCCCCCCCCCCCCCCCCCCCC